TCTGCTCAGAGAAGCACATTATCCCCTCAACAGTCTGCACCACAAACCTGGGCTCATCCATCCCCCTGCCTTGCTCCCCAAGTCCAATCACTCATCAACTTCTGCCTCAGACCCTCAGGCAGGACTCAGGCAAACCCCACCTCCATGCTGACACAGGGTTGAGTGCTGAAGAGAGGAATTGACCTCAACCATTAAAGCTTTCGTTATCTCCTTTGGGCACCATTGAATAGGCACCAGTGGAGTCTCCCAGCCTCCTCTTTTGCTTTTATCTTTTGTTCCATGCCGTGGGCAGAGCCATCTTGCCAAAGTGGAAGTTGGCTGAGCTCTGCTGGGCTCAGATACCTTCCTTGGCTCCCTACTGCCTTTAGGCCACAGCCTAACCTTCTCAATCCGGCATTCAGGGCCTCCACACACTGCTCCCTGCTTAAGCCTCAGCCTCAGCCTCAGCCTCCCCTTCAGAATGACTTGCAATTTTCTGCTCACCTGTCTGCTTGAGCTCACATTGGTTCACCTGGCTAGAATGCCTTTTTCTCTTCCCTTTATTCCATCCATTCCAATATCTTCTTAGAGATTTCCTGAAGTAGTATGCCCTCCTGGACACGTGTGTAACTTCTCTGCTTGTGCATTACAGAGAGACCCTTCTGCTTGCTATGGCTAAGCAGCCTTAGTACCATTAGTGTGACTGACTATATTGAGATGAAAACCACCACCATAGCTGGGTGTGGTGGCTCACATTTTTAATTCCAGAACCCCAGGAAGCTGAGGCAGGAAGGTTGCTAGTCTGAGCTGCCCAGCGTGAGTAAATTTGTGATTTAGTAAAACTCTGTCTAAAAATAAAAAGTAAACTTTTAAAAAGGGCTGGAGATACAGCTTAGTGCAAAGACCCTGGGATCAATCCCCAGTACCACAAAAATGAAAAACACAGACCCTGCCCCCACTGTTATTACGTTGTTCTCAGTTTTTCCCCGTTATAAATGGTGCTGAATTTACCTGGGTTAAAAGCTATAGTTACCCCATACTTAGAAAGATTTCCTCAGAGCGGTTCTGCAAGGCAGAACTGTTTTGGAAAGTGTGTCTGAGATTAGATATTTTGCCAAATCTCCTTTCCAAACAGGTAGGGACACCTGTACTATAAGCAAATCCACAATCACTTCTAAAACCAGGCCTCCCTCTGGGTCCCCTTGG